GTTTACTCGCTGACTGTAGAGAGAGGGGGGTGGGGGGGGGGGGGGGAGTCACGCTGTTATAGGTATCTCCAGTATTCTGCTAACTGTTCTGAGGCCTCTTGCAGTGCACCTTCTAATTATGTCAGTGCCTGCAGCCTGGAATAATGCAGTCTTCAGATCTGAGTGTCTTTTCTGTTGTTGGAGTCCTCTTTGGCTCCATTGGATGTGGCTGGGCTCTCACTTCTCTAGACTGAGGTTTTTACTGGGGTCATGCAAGATTTTATATGTAAAATCACCCATTTATTTGCTGACTCGCAGAGGCCACAAGTGCACTCCTGCACCCTCTACTGCAGATTGTATATCTGATTTGACTGGGGCCTTAGCATCTTCCAAGCCATTGACCACATAGACTTTGGCTTATTCTGAGTCTCTCCAGTCCTTGACTTATTAATTTGCCCCTGAGGAGTTGCAGGCTGCTGCTGTTACTCCCAAATTTAAGGGGGCAGTTTCAGCTCTCATTGATGCAGTGTACACCACTCTGAAACTAGAGGATCAGCCTGTTGCATCTACCCAATGCTGTTTTCAATCTTGGGTTGTTTAAAACTCCTAAGATCGCAGAGACTTTCCTTTTGCACCTGCTGAGGCTCATTGAGTCTCATTAAGAGCAAAATGCATTGCTTGTTTTCAATCATTGCCTGTGCAACACAATATTTGTTTGAAGTTCTGCTTTTAAAACAAATTCTCTATTGAGATTGGAAACCTTCTAACAAGCTATTTGTTCCCCCTTAACATTTATTAGCCTTGTATTTGTTTGAGGATTTTTTGCAGAAGTGGGCTTTCCCTACCTTGGATTCAGCAGTGTACTGCTTTAACAGGGTGCTTACCATTCCTGGTAGAGGACATGCCTGTCTTTTAAAAATAGGAGGTTGAAAGCCCTTTCAGGAGCTCTGTTATTGCTGGTGGGCTTTGTCCCTTATCTGACTTTGCCTTGTCAAAACATATCTAACTGGTAAAAATCTCGAGATCTAACTGCTGCCAAGGATGATCCCTCACATATATAATGCGTGAAGCAGATGGCTGCAGCCTTTTACTTTCTGCTGTGTCAGTTTGTTAGAAAACTCATTTATCGCATGTTTCATGTCTATTCATATGCATAGGGCATTTTGGCTATAGTGCTGCACTGCGGAACCCTTGGTTTAAAAAAACAAGTTTGGTCTTGAAGTCTCTAAGGTCCAACTCTTGACAACACCATCAAGGGAGAAAGAAGCCTAAAGTCAGGTACACGCAGTTCAAATTTTGGCCGGTTCCTGATGAACTGGGCAAGATTCATACCGTGGATGCTGCTGCCCGGCATCCCTTGATCAGCTCATCGAAAGGAAATGGTTTGCCCAACTCCAGTCCTAATGATCTGCCTTAGAAATGGAATTTGCTACTTTAAATACCTTTTTTAATCTTTTCATGACTCAATTCTGCCAGTATTAAATCCCTGATTCTGTCTAGTGTTTGGGATTATCTCAGGAAATCTATAGCTTGTGCAAGGTACTGGTTAACATTTTTTGTTGAAGGTGTTCAGGCTTATTTAATACAGTTGAGCGAACTGATCCTCCAAACACAAGATTTTGCTTCACACCGCAAAACATTGTACATTTCAAATAATGTCTCTAATCCACTCTTGTTGAATCTGAAAGCATTTTTAAGTTCTTTTTAATATATTTAAAAAAAAACGTTCACGAAAACATAAGGATTTTTCTCTCTGAATAAGGGCTGTAAGCATTGTGGTCATGGACAGGTATGTCAAGAGGGGAACCCTAAAAAAGTGAACTCTCTTTGAAAAGACCATCTCAGACGCGTTTCTTTTGCACAGAAAAAGCTGAAATACAGTACACGCTGGTTAAAAATCTCCATCATAAATAAAGAAAAATCTCTCTGCTCCCCTTGTTGACTACATTTCATCTTCCCAGCTTACCTAAGTTGCAGTGATCCACTAAGCATGGCAATGCACTAACCTGTACTAAGCTTCTAAAAAGGCTGCATCTGTTGTGGTGTGTTGGCAGGCCATTCATATTTACACGTTTACACTTACTGCAGTGGTGTGAATGGGCGGAAACTGCCTCCTGCCTTTACAATGGCAGATTGTCACAACAGATGCTGCCAAGTCTGACTGCCTGGGGGAGTGCTGGGCCAGTTGTTGGCTCAGGGCCTATAGACCTAGGAGGAATCTGGCCTCTCCATTAATGTTTTGGAGCTCCGGCCATTAAAGCTGTCCCTTTAACACTGGATTGACGTTATTTGAGGGGCACCCAGTCCAATCACAATCCGACTGTGGCATACATTAGTCATTGGGGGCACAAAGTGCTCAGGAGTGGTCAGGCTAAGGGATCCTTGGATGGAAACGACAGGATGTGATGGTGGCACTGCAGGACAGGTATTTTTTCATTTATGCCTTGCCTCCTCTGAAACCTGGAGTTTACCATTGCATCCAGAATGTCTCTCACAGGGTCCAATCTACCATCCTGCTTTGCATGGCTGTTGAAAGACAGGTTTTAAGGGGCTAGTTCCCAAATTATGCATTGCTGCACGTGGAAGGCCTATTTTGCCTGGTGCAAATTCTATGATCGGATGGTGGCGTACCTCTATCAAGAGGGTAGATAAACGACTGGCTTTAACTGTAAAGGGTCAGATTTCTTCCTTAGTTATCCTCTTCCAATCTCCCCTGGCTACTGGTTCACACCACCATACAAGGTTTTACTTTTGGATGTTTTCCCTACAAAACTGCCATTGACCCCATGAGACCCGAATTTGATATTGTTGGCTCTTCAAAAACCTCCATTCAAGAACATTTGGGAAAGTCTCTTGCTGACACCTCTCGCAAAAGGTGGTCTTTGTGGTGGGTACACCAGTATGTCTGAGCTGGCAGTGTTATCCTGTGTTGTCTGGGGTTTACCCAGTCCTTCTCACCATAAAGGAGTGACCCTTTATTTTCTGGATGTAGTCAGGGATGTTGAGGTCTACCTGAATGCTACTGCTTTTATCCGGAAGACTTACTCTATTTTTGTAGTTACAAATGGCCCAGTAAGGGGCAGACTGCCTCATCATCCACCATTTCCTGGTGCATTCGTCAGACAGTGGTTCAGGCGTATGCCACTGAAGGTTGGAAACTTGTTTTCCCAGATACCGGTCACAGTCCTGGGTTTTTCATCTTCATACCTCTCAGACTTTTGGGGTGGCTATCTGGTCATCTGTTCATACTTTTACAGTTGATATTATGGCGTCTGAAGATGTTAGCTTTGGCCTCCTAGGTTTTGCAGGCGGGGGTGTGAGTGTCTTTGCCGGGGTCCTGGCTCACTTTTCTACTGTTTACTTCTGTTTTCTCCAGTTGGGCCCACCCTCTATTTTGACACTGCTTTGGGGTGTCCCATATGTCAAGATCTAAAGGTCTATTCATTGACAGACACAGCAAGAAGAGGGACCATAAAATCCTTTTCTCTGTGTTCATTGAAGGACACAGCACCTACCCTTTATGTTGTGTTTGACTTTATCCTGTGTACTGCTTGCTGCTAAATGAGATGGTTGTTGTAGATGAGGGGTCTTTTTTGTCTTGTACCCAGTAACCTACTCCTGCAGGTGGCATCCAACACTCAAGATCTAAAGATGCAGCTGCATCCTTCAGTGGATGCAGGGAATATTACTTTTTTTGTTTTCCGTTGTCCAGTCCACCTGTAAGTGGCAGTATAACCTGAAGTGAAAGACTTAATGTGTCTCTAAATGGACCCTAAGAAAATAATTTTACGGTAACTATAAAAATCCTATTTTTGTTGGGGAAAAAAGAACATGGCAGTTGGTTGTGACACAGTATTGTAGCAAACTAAATGTCATCCATTTAGGGTTTTGAGCTACTTCTATTTTGGAGAGAGTAGAAAAGCGTTAAAACCTCTGCCGAGCCTTTTTTTCCTTTCTCCCTATTTCCCTAACATAAGGAGGGGAAGGGAGCCGGGAGGAGAACACTGTTTGGAATTTTAGTGCACCAGAGTGCACAGTGTCCTCATTGTGGAATTTTTCCCCTTAATTCCTGCCTGGTAACTTGTGTGTCATGGGACATTCAAGGAAATTTTTCTGCTGGGAAAGCAGATAACAAATGCCCTTTTTTGACAGAATAGAAAATGATAATAAAGCCATTGTGTTTGGAATTAATATTTTCTTATTTGCATTTTCAGATTTTGGAAAGAACTCTAGAACCTGACAGCTCAGATGAAGAGCCTCCTCCAGTTTATTCACCGCCATCCTATGACCTGCATTTATTTGACAGACCTCATCCACAAACCCCACCCACACCTCCTCCTCGGTATGTGAAAACAGTTACCCAACCTTCATATCCTACAATGTGTGATTTTATATGACGTACCCGAATATGACGAGTTGGTGGAACACATTAAAATCCAATGCACATAGAGTAATCCTTTTTTTTTTTTAAAAAAGATAGCAGCATCTTAGGTGATTGTCAAACACTTTTAAATTAAATCCAATACTTAACTACTCATTGCAGCCTCAAGAATAACTCCTTTACAGCTAATAATCCACATTTCCAACAGCATCGCCTACAGCTGTATGGCGTTGTACACATCTGGCAGAAATCCAGTGTGTTTTTTTCATTTTTTTTTCTATTTGAGCTGACAACACATTGCATTTTCTTCTCTGAAATCCCATTTTTGGCAGAATCAATGGCTATATTTCTGTACTTGCAGAGATGTACTGTATATGTTGTTTTCTTTTTCCCCCCCCTAGACATACACTTAAAATATAGCCCTATGACCATGAAGTATGTACCAGCCATACCCAGATCTGCTATGTCTCTTTGTCTTCTAGCGGTAGTATTGGCTATGTACCCCTGAATCAAACTCTATTATTATTATTATTACATAGTATTTATATAGCGCCAACAGTTTGCGCAGCGCTTTACAATGTAAGGAAGACATTACAATTACAATACAATTTAAGACAGGATGGTAAGGAGGGCCCTGCCCCTGAGGGCTTACAATCTGAAAGGGGAGGGGGAAATGATACCTGAGGAGGTACACTGCCAAACTGAGCATATAACTATTATACACATCTGATTCGGAAAGACAGTCACCACAGACATGTATTAAAACTTACCCTTTCACTTACCTTTTCTGTGAGTCACGATGATTAACTGTGGATAAAACATGACCTTGTGTTGTAGGGATAGTCAGTGTGATAAGTTTCAACAAAATGTCTGTCTTTATTCCTACCTAGAATCTATTCTTTCTTGGAATTCCTAATGAATATGCTATTTTATAAACCTTCCAAAGTATGCAAAATCAAAGAAATTATGGGAAGTGCTTCCAAAATTCATACCAGACCCTTATCCCAGATAGGGATCTGGTCTGGGTTTTCATGGGTTTCCTCCATCAAACCAAAGGCATTCTGGTAGGTTGATTGGGTTCCTCCTAAAACTGCCCCTAGTAAACATATAAAAAAAAAAAAGTATGGTAATATATAAATATGTATGGTAGAGATATAGATGCGGACATATTTGTTGGTACCCATGCAGTTCATTGAATGCTTTATGCCTCCTAAAAAGTGATTTAAATTAAAAGCAATTGTCTCATGTATACCTGCATGCCTTTTAGCATGTGATAGAGTAAAGCAAAGAAATTGTCAAAATAAATGATTGCTTTTTCTACAAAGATATTCTACAATGGCCTTGGCAGACTTGTTGGTACCCCTAGTGAAGATTATTATTTGGATCATAGTGATATTCAAAGCAATTTGTTTTCTGTAATTAGTATCACCCATGTCTTTAATCTATTATTATGTGCACCACACTGAACATGGACCAGAGAAGGCAAAGGAGAGAGTTGTAAGAGGTGATCAGACAATAAATTATAGACCAGCATGTCAAAAGTAAAGGCTATAACACCATTTCCAAGCAGTTTGTTATTTCTGTGACTGCGGTTGCAAATATTATTAGGAAGTTTAAGGACCATGTAAGTGCAGCCAACCTCACTGTATGTGGTTGCAAGAGGAACATCAACTCCAGATTGAACAGAAGGATAGTGAGAATAGTAGACAAAGATCCAAGGAAAACTTCCAAAGAGATACAAGCTGAACTTCAAAGACAAGGTACATTAGTGCCTGATCGCACCATCTGTTGCTTTTTAAGCCACAGCAGGCTCAAAGAAGAAGACCCAGGAGGACTCCACTGTTGAAAGAAAAGCATAAAAAAGCTAGACTGGAATTTATTACAATGCTGACAAACAACAATGCTTCTGGGAGAATGCCCTTTAACTGATGAGGCAAAACTTGAGCAAGTCACATCAGCTTTATGTTTACCGATAAAAAAAAAATGTAGCTTCACCTACTGTGAAACACGGAGGAGGCTGGGTTATGTTTGGGGTTGCCCCATTGTGTCTGGCATAGGGTGCCTTGAGTAGTTGAAGGGCACAATGAAGTCTCAAGACAATCAAGGAATACTAAACCAAACTGTGCTGCCCAGTGTCAGAAAGCTCTGTCTAATGACCCAAAACACACGGCTAAAACACCCAAAAATGGCTAAGATGAAAACATTGGTCTATTCTGAAATGGCCTTCTGCATGCCCTGATCTGAATCTTCTCAATTATCTATGGAAAGCGCTAAAACATGTAATCAGGAGAAGACATCCTATAAAACCTGAGACAACTGGAGCAGTTTGCTTAAGAGGAGTGGGCCAAACTATCTGTTGGCAGGTGCAGAAGTCTCATTAAGAGCAAAATAAATTGCTTGTTTGCAATCATTGCCTTTGCAACAAACTATTTGTTTGAATTTCTTATATTTCTCAAATATTTTGTTGAGTCAAAAAATCAAGTCTGATTTTTGTTAAATATGGAATAAACCATGATAATGCCGATTTTTACTTTTGTCAGTTTCAAGTTATTTCAGAGAAAATTGTGGGTTTTTCTTTTTTCGTGCAAGGATACCAACAAATGTGTCTAATGATTTCTTGAAAGCCTTATTTTTTATGTAAATGGTATAGAGGTTTGTGTGCATCTCAGCTGTAAATTTAATTTAAGAGTAACTGTCAGTTTATGCTAAAGCTGATTGAAGACATATTTGTCAGTAGCAAACTGGAGTAAAATATGTCGTTTTGATTTTTGTTATTTTCATACACTAGTTAAGTAATTAGGCTACGGTATTTTAACTGCGTATCATTTGCAGCTTGTTTTGACAGAGCGAATTTGAAAATGTTTAAACATTTTTAATTTTCAACAAATTGAATAAGCCATAAAATAGTTAAATCTATATTCCTGATTGGTAAAGTCCACATACCAAAGTTTGCATTGCGTGATATCTGAGCAGAGGTGGTAGAGCACATTTTGTATGTTGATAACATTTATCTGCCGCACATCCTACTGTATGTACACAAATACTGCCACCTGCTGGAATGTTTAAGAAATTCTATTTATTTTGTAGTTAAATCTACATTCCAATCGGCTGAAATCACTGGCCAGTCTAATAGTTGTGCACTTGTGCTAAAGTAACAAGAGAACCATGAGTTGCCAATTTGTTACCTTAAAAGTGCACTCGAGATAAAAGTGAAAATGAAGTTTTGAAATGCACACTGGTAGCAGAGCCTACATGCACAGAGCTTTTGTTTTTCCTTAAGACTTGTATGTATGGATGTATTGCATCAGTTGGCCAGCTCCTTAAAGCAAGCCTGTCATATAAGTGAAAAGTTGCCGCAAACCACTTATCTGTAAAGGAGAAACAGAATACCTACCGTGCCACCAACACTGCTCCATTGCTTAGGAATCGTCCCCTGAAGTCTGCTGGAAAACCATATTTTGAAAGTGTAGATCTGCTGTGCCCCTCCCTTATTACTCACTGGTTCCTCCACCTTATTACTGTCTCCAGGGCTGGATTTCCCACAAGGCCAACAAAGCTTGGCCTCGGGGCAGCAGGGAGTAGAGGGGCGGCACAGCCACCGGGTGAGTATTTTTTTTTCTCTAAATTTAGCCCTGCTTTAAGAAAGCAGAGCTAAATGTAGAGGGGAAGCCGCCGCTCATTTTGTATAAGTGATTCCGGCGGTGCCGCCAAAATCACTGGTAATATGCCTGCAGGTCCCTCCTTCACCGGCACTCCCCCTTCAATGGTCCGCACCCACCTCCGGCTGCCTCCTGTCCTTCCTGGCTGCCTCCCTGCCATGGTTTTTTGGGGTCCCTCGCTCTTCTGGGGGACCTGGTACCACGACAAGGTAGTTTAGGATGGAGGGCGGGGAGCAGAGTGGAGAATATCCATTATCCGCTCTGCTCCGTGTAAACACTGAGACAGGAGAGCTGCACTCACTGCATTCCAATCTCAGCTGCCTCAGGAGAGCCTGCACAGTACTGTGTTCAAACGCCTGTATTGAAGGTGACAGGTTCAATATTTATTTATTTTTTATAAGGCAAAGTGCATTTAGTCAGAATTGTGTTTTGCTTCTAATAATTAGTTTGACAATGCTTATGTATTTTTTTTCATTAATAGGATTGATGTGACTTCAACTATTAGCTCTCAGGTACCAAAACTGTGTAGGAACTGGAACCCACCTCTCTTAGGGAACTTGCCTGATGATTTTCTACGTATTTTACCACAGCAGATGGACAGTGTTCAGGTGAGAATTTTGGAATATGTTTTGGCACATGCAATTAATGGAAAAGGTCGGTTATAGTAAACCATAACGTCAAATCTTGTGCTTGCTATATTTGGAGGGTAAAATATTCTCGTCACAATACTGCGTCTGTCACATGGCGGCTCTATATACTGAGACCTGAGCGAACATCTAACCGTGGTTACATGATCCCTCAGTTCACAGTCCGCTTCCTGCTGAAATCAGTGACTGCCAGTAACTGCTCATTGGAAGGACAGACAGGGAGAGAGCAGACACAGTTGGCTCTTGGTCTAGAGAGGTAAAGCCAACTGTCAATCAGGCAGCGGGGTGGATCATGACAATATTGTCAGGATCTTTCCCGGCTGCAGCGCAACAATGCGCTGTCGGCAAATAATAGGCAGAAGCTCACTATTTGCTGACCTTTGGGTCAGAGGAGTTCGTTGGTAAAGGTACATCTGTGACCCAAAAGAGAAGTAAAGCTAAAAAAATGGGTTGGCGTTACGCCTCTTTTAAGACAACAAAGGGAACATGTATGAGTCTGTTTTCTAAAATACAGCTGCCTAAAGCTCATGACACTCATTATAATATAACTGTACAATCTCCTATAGATCTGTCAAAAGAGTAGTGTAAGGGCCTGTCTGATTAAATACAAATTAAATGGATTAATTAAGTAGGTTCTAATATTGAATAATGTTGATTGTACGAAGATTATATGTATGGTGCTCTTTTTTTTATATATAGAACTGTGTTGAATGTAAGACTGGCGGTTAGTTTCTTTCTCTTGCATAATATCCATACTTCTTTTCATTTTTTAAGCAGCACTAGAAAAGTAAGGCCCACACGGACACCTTCAGTTCCAATCGGCAAGGGATCCGTGCACGGAATGGATGTAAACGGATGCATGTTCGTTTATATCTGGCTGCCCATAGACCAACATTGTGCTTGTTATCAGTTCAGCCTGAAAATCTGTCAACCACAATGGCATATTTAACATATCATGAACTGCACATCACTTAGAAGAAATGACATGCTAAGCAATCAAGCTTTGTCAAAAAATCAATATAGGTTTACAATTTAGCAACCACCATATACAACCCTTTGTCCATGGTATTGGAGTGAAACACCAAAAAGTAATGCTACTTAAAAAAATCACTCCTGCGTTAAAGGAGAAGCATACTAAATAATGTAAAGTAATATATTCAGCAAGATCACCTGGCCATACCTAACATTTGCCACCAGATGTTAGTGGAAACTGAAGAGCATTTTGTTTTTTTCTAGTGGGTCGTAATATTATGGCATGGTTTAGAAAATATTGTCTAGTGTCTTCTATTCCTCTGATGTCTAGCGCACCTCGTGCCAATGATTCCCTATTGTCTAGCTATCCTCGTACCAGCTACCCTCTGGCATCTAGCATTCCTCTTGTCAAAGACTGCCTGGTGTATAGCATTCCTCTTCCCAGAGATTCCCTGGTATCTAGCTTTCCTTGTGCCAGCTACTCCTTGGTGTTTAGCGTTTTTCTCGCAAGCAACTAGCACATGTCTTGTATTTCTTATGTGAGGGACATCACCATTGTCTAGCATTGCTATGCCAGTGACTTACTGGTCTCTAGTGTTCTCTATGCCAGTGACTCCCTGGTGTTTAGTGTTCTTTATGAAAAGTGACTCTTTGGTGTCTTATCACTGCTCATGCCAGTGACTTACTGCTGTGAAGCGTTCCTCGTGCCAGTGACTCTCTGGTACCGAGCATTCTTCTTGCCAACAACTTTCCCCGTATCTAGCATTGTTTGTGTCAGTAACTCTCCAGTGTTCCTGTTGCGAGGGACTCACAGGTGTTTAGCATTTCTCATACCAAGGAGTACCTGGTGTCTAGTGTTCCTTATGCCAGTGAGTCACTGGTGTCTAGAATTCCTCAGACCAGCGCCCCCCCTAATGTCTAGCAAGGCTTGCGCCAGCAATTCCCTGCTGTCTAGCGTTCATTGTTCCAATGACTCCCTTGTGTCAAGCGTTCCTCTTGTGGTCATGTTTATTGCTACAGTAATTGTTATTATCATAATACACATATATAAATTCAAGTAAAGTTAGGGCATTGTGAAGTGTAATTGTCTGTGTCCTTTCCTGAGCTTTTTTTTAAACATTTTTCTCAGCCCATTACATTATTATTGCAGTAAAAGCCAGGCAGGTTTTTATGAAATACAGTAAGATAACAAGGGGTAACTCCTGAACTACAGAAAATAGAACATTTTGATTTGGCCTCCATTGTGTTTTTTTCTGCATGTAGTGCTTGGATCAAGGTTTAAAGCCTGCAGGGTGTTATAATACAGTTAACAGTGTAATTTATATTGCATAAAGAGCCCGTCACCCTAGGCTCAGTATACCGCGAGCTGTAGCTCGTATACTGAGATGCTCGCGGTATACTGAGACGCTGAAGTGGATCTCCACAATTATGTCTGGATCCGCCCAGCTGCGTGACTGACAGCTGGCTCTGCCTATCTAGAGGCAGAGCCAGCTGTACCCGCCCCCTCCCCGTCCGTTCCGCCAGTCAGCGCTGGCGGATCGGAGAGGGGAATCCAGCCCCTCCCCTGTCATGGCAGAGAGCCCTGACAGGATCGAGAAGTGAGCGAACGCCGGTATGTGTACGCTCACCTCCCGATCTACTGAGCCGACCTGTGACAGTCTCATTGTCACAGGTCGGCTAGAACTATGAGGTGAGTGAAAAGCACTCACCTCATAGTTCTCCTTTAAAACATTTTTAAATGATTGACTAAATGCATTCATAACTGGGAAGATTTATACAGTGTCAGTCTTTATCCCGATCATGTAGCCAAAGGCTGAAACTATCATGTTATTTTTGAAGCTATAAGTAGCTTATTTCATGCACAGAGCAGTTTAAACTGTATCTTTTTAAAATACTTTTTTTGACGTGTGTTTGATTATAGTTGCGCTCTTAATATAATGCATAATGCAACATGATTCATTTGTTGTTCTAGAAAAAAGGCCATTACAATCCTGCCCTGCAGAGTGATGTCCCAACTGTAGAGTAGCTACTCTTATGATTACCAAAAAAATAAACTTTTCTATCACAAATCAATTCCCCTGTGATGACATGAGTATGTCTACTGAAAGAACATTGTTTCCTACTTGTGGTATATTGCTGCAGTGAGCGTATCCAGTGGTAGCAATGAGAGACTAGGCTCCTATAGCTAATTGCACAATTTTCTGCCTTGTCCATCCATTCTTGAGGAATAGAAAGTAGAAGCTCTGGTATTTGACAACTGAGGGTATTCCAAGCCCCCCACACCCCCGGAAAAGCAGAAGCAAATGAGGCATCATCTCAATTTATAGATTAATGCGTACCTTGTCAATAGACTGAGCCTGTCACAGTCTGTGAACTGGGGCACTTGAAATTTTGAGCTCTGGGTTTTGTGGAGCCTTCCAGAACAGGGAACAGGCCTGGAACACAGGTCTTGAGTGACTGGACACAGGTTACGCTAAACACATTGAGCCAGGGACAGGGTGTCTGCACAAGAAACATGGGTGTGCCAGAGGTGCAGGATCTAAGGAGAGCCTGGTCTTCTCCAGATGCCCTTATGGTGAGGATGTTGTGCTGCAGTGCAGCTCACAGATTGCGGCCCTCCAACACATCCGTGCAGACTCAGCTGACTGAAGGGCAGAGGGAACAACAAGACAGTACAGCACTAGGATACTGGATAGTGGGAAGTGGGGGCAAGAGACTGTAACCAACAGGTGCAGGAAGGTTGCAGCAGGTGCACTAGGAAAGACTGATACAGGACACACTGGGGAATAGCACACGGGAAGTCCATTGTACAGAGGTTCTGGTTACACCAGGGCACCCACAGAGGAGACATGCCTAAACAAAGACAAGATACACGCAGGAGATGTGCGTACACAGGAGTTGAGGGCACAGTACAGACACAAGGCTTATGTGATCCAGAGGCTCAGGGCACAAGGAATGAAAGTTACGCAAGTAACATGCGTTACACACAAGAACATGAAACCACAGAGGAACAGAGTATAAGGGCAGAACTCACAGGGAGCATGCATACACAAGGGTGCAAAAACTGGTACACACGGGAGCAAGGAAACTCTACATCACTGCAAAACACATCACAGGCTGAGTCAGAGAGAGCAGGGTAAACAGAAAAGCAGACACAGAGTGAAGTGAGAGAACACCAAAGGAAATAGCAAGCTAGGCAGTTCAGACTACTCACACCACTAAGGTGAATGCAAAGCAACTTCCACAGGGGAACACTATGGACTGAGAGCAAACGGGGACACAGGGAACAGCAAGTAGCAAAAACTGTCAAGCAGGGAATCCACGGGAATAAGAGATCATAGAATAGCTCCATAAACTCCAAGGGAAATCACAAGGAACACAGCAGGGCCGGCAGGAGAAAACAGACTAGTTGCTCAAACACTGAGCAACGGGTGAGCTGAACCTAAATAGGGAAGGAAGAGAGCAGATTGGCTGCAGCCCTATGACCTCCAATAGGCTGACAGCCAAGCACACAGGACAGAGGGGAAAATGTGGCATGGATACCAGAACAGTGTGACAGGGCCTAGGATCCAGGAGTCTTCAAATAGATTGATTTGTTAGCCAACACATGCACTTGGTGCCTGCATTTCAGGAGTGCTACATTAAGCAATTTTAGGCCAGGTTAGACCCACTTTAAGGTAGCTGTGACTGCAGACAGCATTTGCTGCACACTCTCAGTGGGAAACTGTTGCTATTGTCTGATCAGGCAATTGAGAAATTGCTTAAGTTTTGTCCTGTTCCTAGTGTTTTCCATGTCTACAGCATTGGAATCTATTTGCTGTTTTTGTTTCCAGTGTTGCCAGAGTGGACTTTCTTCGTTACATTGTGAAGACTCCAAAAAAGAGCACCATGGGTCTGTGGACCAGGAAAGAAAGTTGAAGCAGTATTTGCAGGATGAGAGGATTGCACTCTTTTTACAGAATGAAGAGTTTATGAGAGAACTTCAGAGAAACCGAGAATTTCTCCTTGCTCTTGAAAGAGGTACATTATATATTTTTTTTAAATCAACTTTAATTTCTTGATTTTTACAGGATTATTGCTTTGTAACCTCACAAGGGAGATTTGTTTTTTCCTTACTTTTTTGATCTCACAGAAATAGGGAAATAGAAATATTTTGGCTTTAGATACATATACTAATATATA